GGGGGGGGGGAGGGGGTTCTGTTCTATTTAGTCAATCCTGGAGCGATAGTTCTTTAACTCGGTGCAGGACAGCTAGGACTGAGCTGAATGATTTACATAGCTGCATGTCTTGATATAACAGCTTAAGCTAAACGTCATTTCACGTGCACTCCTAAACTAGACAAAGCTAATCATTGCGCCGGTCTCGATATATTTTTTAAACAGGATCTTGTCTGAAAATCCCAATTACCTTTAGTGCTATTTTTAAAGTATGCCACGAGCAGCATCGAACTATTAGCAAGCACGTGCACGGTTAACCAAACAATAATAAACAAAAGGTTAGGGTTAGAATCAACAAAATCAGAAGAATTTCACCTCACAACTCTGAGGCAGTCTAGAAACATGCATTTAAGGTAGTAAAGTCAAATCAAAGAACCCACCAACAGGAATAAAGCCACTGCTAAATCTTGTTCTGTGGGGTTCTTTTATTCGGCACATTAGCGGCCGTACGTCCTCATTTCTTTATTTTTGATTCGTACCTTGCATGCCGCCATCTTTTGTTTACTTAAACAAACTCAATTTCAAACGTTAAAACTACTTAGCGTAACCCCAATAAAATGTGCGCAGTAAACCGGCCTAGCGTGCATACACATACCTGTCTGGAAAAGGTTCCATAATAAGATGATAGGGCAAGGTCATAAACACATTCTATTAAAGAAAAATTTGGTATGAACCACAAGAAGATTTTCATGTTTTCACGTACTATCCTTGGTCCCTGCCCATCACAGGAACTGCTTGAACATAAGTCAGTTGATAGTTTGCTGAAACAGTTCATCATTAGCAGTGTGTTTCAATGTTCTCCATCCTTACCCATTTCTGTTCATTTTTTGTTTCATTAGAACCCTTTTGTATTTTTCTATCATAGCCAAACCGTAATATTTTTTGTCTCCTTCAGGTTGGAGATGACTTTGCTTGCCGCAACTGGGGGATGCCTCAGCCGAAATAAATGATGACGTGACATCCAAGCTTAATCCAACTGATCCTACAAGCTCCTATTTAGCCTCTTTTTGCGGTCAATACGTCAGGTAAACTGTAACATAGCTACAGCATTGTTGATTGGAAACGAAAACGTTTTGCATGAAGAAAAATGGCCATTAGGTGCATTCCGTTTACGTAAACGGAAGAGCAGTTGTGGACACACCGCTACCTGTAGTCACAATCCCGCTCTTGACGTAAAGAGATCCAATTTATGTTTGGTATTAAAAGTGACTCTTTGGATAAGCCGTTGATAGAGGGTTACAAAGTGCCACTTCCGCGACAACTAGCAACCAACATATCCAATGACATGGATTACGATCTCCTGATCACTGGTGACCCTATGAGGTATGTTTGCTTAGATTAAGCGTTTGAGAGAAGATCCTAATCGCGGTTTGCTCGATGGCAAGGCTGCCAGCAATGCCACATAGTATTAGGGTAAGCACAAAATATCAAGATTTGTTAACTGGATTATTTTTTCTTTAAGCAAAAGCCGGCTAACTTATTGGATAATAACATCATCGAGTCGCAGCCAATACGACTCCGCTTTGACGTATGACATTGTGGCTAATAACTTAAAAATGCTTTCTCGGTGATAGTGATCAACAATCCGGCAGACGGACCGCTGTCTTGGTTTTAAAAGAAAACAGATCTATCTTTTAGAACAAGTTAAATTCTTTAAGACAGCATCATGGATAGTGAAGTTCCAGAAGAAGAAACCCCAAGAGCAACAACTTCAAAGAAGAAGACAAAAAGACGAGGGCGGCGCCTGACTGGTTTAAGCAAACAGCGAAGAATAGCGAATACGCGCGAGAGAAACCGAGTCCATGTCATAAACGAGGGCATAGATCGCTTGCGAGATCTCATTCCTCTCTTTCCGAACGAGAAAAAGCCTTCAAAAACCGATACTATTCGTTTAGCAGCGTTGTATATATCGCATTTGACAGAGCTCTTGGAAATGGCGAATACAGAACACGAAGATATGATTGGTGGAGAAAGTTTGGACGAAGATTTGTCAGTGACTTCACTTGAGTTTGACCCGTTCGGTGTAGAATCAGAAGGTAAGATAACAGTTTTGTAATTCGTTTGTGGTAAACTTGTGAACGCCGTCTTCTTGATGAGGCTAGAATTGTCAATCATCTAAGGCACAGAAGGAGTAAAATCAAAAAAAAAACTTTTGGGAGTATTTAAAAGTGTTAGTAGCGAGGAATGGAAAGAAGGAATTTGTTTAATTATGAGGGAAATACTACACCGCTTGACTATTTAAATATATCGTACCAGTTCGTGAACTTTTAACAGCAACTTTACCTGTGTGCGATAAGCTTTTTGATACGTAAGATAATTAGAAACTGAAGTTCATTTCTCATTTTGTTTTGTATCAGAATTGACAGTTTTCTTCTGGAAAGATGACGAATTAAGTGGCAGCGATGGTGGCGGTCTCTCGTCGGTTTTTTAACCATAATGAGTCTAAAAACAGTTCAGAACAGCAACTGAAGAGCAATAAAACCGTTCTTTGGAGTAAATGTACCTCAAGTGCATGGAATGCAACCTTCATTTATCCGTGAGAAACGTTGTTGTTGTTGTCATGAAAACCACGTCACATCTTAGCTTTTTTTTTGTCACTAAGATTGTTGACTTGCTCTCCAATGGGTGGCATCATTAGATCTTTACTTCAGGAGGAAAGTCACCGTTAATCATAGTCATAAACTTTGGGTATTTTCACGTTAGCGTGCAATGCGATTAAGTTATCGGATCTGTGTAGTTTGAGCCTTTTTTTAATCAAGCTATTGAGTGTTTTAATAAACGATAACCATCTTACTTAAACAAGTTATCACAGAGGTACCCTCTGGCATGGGAATAAGAGAGTTAAGTAAACAGTGTAAAGTAAATTCACCTTTCTTAATTTAGCAAATATTACCTGTTTCACGATAAACTCGAGTCGTAAAAACACCGAACTGTACTTGCCTCTCATCGGGCGCATGGTGGAAATTAAAGCAGTCACGCTGTTTCAAGATTTGCATCACTTCCGTGCAGTTGAAAAATGGACAGGTATCGTCCGCGGAGCAAGTAATGAAGTGATCATCCTTGCGGAGACTTGTGAGCGTCTCTTTTTTCGCGGTCAATTGCTGTATTTAAAGCAATTTTGGTAGATTTGTTGTCCAACTATTAGCTTATTTAATAAAGTCTGAATGCTTAGCGCAAACAAGACGGCTATTGCAACAGTTTGTTATTACTTTATAGAAGATTATAAGCCTATTTCGTTCAGACTATTTGTAAAGATTTTAGTGAGAAATAACAATTATCCATAAAACTAGATGACGAGATTCTTAATGTAACTTGAAAACATCACCTGACGTAGAAGGTTTGGGGAACCTTTTTCTTTTTTCTATTTTTTTCAGTAAACTTAAGCTGACAAACAAATAAAGCAGAGTTTCAGGTCCGCCTGTCAAATCGTACTTCTTATAATTAATATCCCGCTCAATAAGATTTACAGTCGTTGCTTAGAAATGTCTATCAAGGGGTTAAAAAATATCAAAGTTATTTCGCATAATCAACTTACCCTTGTTATTGATACAGGATGAGAAACCTCAAAGGTTTAAACTGACGCCTCATGTCGAGCAGCTCAAATCCCTCTCTACTTTGGTTTCGTCTTACGAAAAAAAAAAAAAAAAGACACGCTTTTGAAAAAAATATCTTCGCTTATTTTCTCATTTTTCCCTTTCACTGATACCCTGGCCATCACTGTTCAATTAAGTCGCTTAACTTAAGATTGTGATTTGTCATCCAGGTTGCACTTAGTATCATTGAGTGCAGGTTACTCGGATAGTACGTGTGCTTGAAATGCAATCGTACTTCCGAAGACACTTTACAAAGATTAGTCAAAACAAAAAATAATAATAATCTGCCAGTTATCAGTTGGTTGTTCTAAATCGAAACTGTGGTTCTAAAACACCATTGTGTCTTAAATTGTACTCGATATCAAATGCTTACGTAATTGTGCCATCATCAAAATATTTCTTAAATGCTGCGAATGAGGCTTTGCGGAGCGGCTGCTGCCCTCTATATTATCACTAATTCATTGATTTCTACTTGCTTTCACTTGTCTGATTTACTTCGGATACTTCACGCATTCAAGCATCAGACTTAAAATTAAACGACGCTTAGATTTATTGTAGCATTTTTGTCAATTATCGCCGATTTTTGTGGCGTTTTATGAATCATGACTGTCCAATGTCGGTCATGTTGAAAGAGAAATTAGAGTGCGGCAGTTTTGCAGGTCATTTGGGTTTGGGTAATTCCCGTGTTTTACCCATGAGGACGTCTGTTCTCCTGGATCTTTTCAATCATCGTTTGTAAGTACTCATTTAGCAGCAGTGTTGGCTACCTTTACACTGATAAGCTTCATACAGACAGCGCTGTACTGGGGATTGCACGGCAGTATTTTGGAAAATGTACTAATGAGACTCATTTGTTCACACGTCTGTGATGTTTCGTTTAATTGAAAATAAGGTGGCACTACACCTTACTGCACCTTGCACAATGATGTTGAGAGAGAGTTATAGGACCGACTGCTGATGACAGCCTTTTAGAAACTGGATGGCAAAAATGAGATGGCAAATAAGAATGTAAACCTGTGCGTTTTAGGTGCTAAGTAGACAAACGTCCTAGTATTTTTTGTTTACTTGATCTCTCATGTGAAGTCCAAAGGGTTAGATAATATCATTAACGATCTGCACAGAAGTTTCAATATTGAACTCAGAGTCTTCGAGTTGAGGCCTGTTTTAATTAAACGTCAACTGAAAATGTAAGATATCTTCCCTTCGGTTATGTAACAGATATCATCAAGAAACTTGTGACCAAAATAGGTCAGACGCACGACAAAACATAGCTTGGAAACAAAACTTCAAAGTAGTTTATCTTGAAACCACTAGAGGCTGGAGGCGCTCTTGTTAATTTTACGAGCTGTAGGACTATCGGAAGATAATTGTTTGATTGAAACTCACTGAATAAATCCTCCATGACTTTGCTGTAATCTGCCTTGACTGAAAATGGGTCCTAAAATGACAAAATGAGTGGGCTGGGTTGGTAACTATCATTTATACGCCGTTTGTCAATTGCGGTTGTTTACTGTAAGCCGAATTAAACCTCCCATGGTGAAACGATGTGTTTTGCGATTTTGAAACCACATAACAATGCATTTTCTATTTTGAGGCTGTACAAGACAGGAAATTCAGGTCACATTTAGTGCAAGCCGAGTATACTGGAAAATGTCCGTTGATCAACAACATGTATATTTCCAATTACTTCGAATCCGACAAATAGTTTATGAAAGTGAATCGATGCTGGGAAAATCTGAAAATGTGTTTTTTTTTTTTTGTTTAAACTGCTCCTCGAGCAGTGGTGGTCCTGTATGGGCGCCTAAGCAAGTTATGATTATTAATATTGTCCTCCTCTGATCGCTGGCCTGGTACTGACCCCGAACAATCCGCAGGTTTTGACAGCTTACAGTTTTGCAAACTTCATCCCCAACTAAATATGCTTTTCCGTCCTTTTTAAACCTGATCACTATTTCAGGTGACCAATCGGGATAACAAATTCTAAATCATACACAAACCTAAATTTCATCGGGAGACATCGATATAAAGTCTTGATTACACAGTCACGCATCAGAGTTTCCTCCAACAAGGATCGATTGGACTTAAACCCACATTTATTTGAGTGAGGTTGCTGCTATGTTCGGAAGGGTGAAGGTTCACATTAAATATATGATGAAAATTGAAAGAGAAACACGTGATTTAGGAGAAAAACAGAGCGACAAGTTATTTCTTTTCGAATGCTAAAGGTTTCTCGAGTTCATGCGGCATTGGACCACACCTAATGACCTGAAGTTATGCAAACTCTTTTTGCCCAGCCGCCGTTGGGCTTGCTTGCCCAGCATTCGCTATCTCACGGGCTTAAAATCAAATAGAGAAAAGCTTATCTACACATCAGCGCGAACGAAATACACTTTCATGATAAGAGCCGAGGCAGCCTCTACTGAGATGGTCGAATTTCGTTGAGAGAATGCCAAAGTACAAAAAAATTTGGCTTGGATGATGTACCGCAAATTATGTTTTATCAACTTAACTCAAGAAGCAATTAGGAAGAAGGGAGTAAAGAAAAATTAGTGAAAATGGATAAATTGAGATTGGACACTTCTTCTTTCTGTCCACCTCAACTGAACTTACGAACTTAAAATATAGGTTGCTACTCCTCAAAAAAAAATCCATTCAAGGTAAGAAGGTAAAATTTAAAATGCAAAATTACCCAATTTGAGCTTCGAAAGAAATGTGCAGGTATACCGTGATTCGTTACACGTTTAAGCTCTCGCTTTGCCACGAAATAATGTCCAAAATCTGATATTTTAATAATGCCTAAATGTTATCAGTGTTTTGGTAGGCGTACACAAGGTAACTTATACGCGAAATCAAGCTATCTAGGAATCTGGTTTTACGTAGTGCTGGCTCCTCTTGTCTGAGTTCCCAGGCTACCTGTAATATCGCAAAACTCACCGATCTTAATTAAACACATCTCCCATAAATGATCATTCAGATTAATGATACAGGATATTGTTCATTTCCGAAAGATAGAGCGAGATAAATCAAAACGTTGTGGCGAAAGCTGGTAGGTTCAAATTTAACACATGTTACATGGAAAGTTCAAGCAAATGTTTTCATCGCGCAAATGCTCAGGAAACTTTTTATCGTGTTCGAAGCATGACTCTTTTCCAAAACATGCATTTACTTTATTTTTTTGAATGAATGTTAAAACTGCAGCTTTAGAAAACGATGTGCTCGCTTTAGCAAAACCCAACAGTAAAACCACCAACGGACAGTCAGCAAACTAGAATCGTTCAGTATCAGCAGAGTTTGAAGTGGAAATAATTTTTAGGCGTTTTCATGAATATTAATGAGACCAGTAAGCCAGAATTCACCAGACTCTTATATCGTCGAGTTTCCTTTACTGAAGTAGGTTAAAACTAGCCAAAAAATTTTCAAAAGTGGCAAATCTACGTGACTTCTAAAGTTGTTTACATTTTTTTGTTTTTAAAGCAAATAAGTACGGAAAGAGAGAAAAAACAATAAACTTTGAAGGGTCAAAGAGTCACTTGCACGATGAGAACGTGTGTTGTGAGTGGCTGCCGTGACGTCATGTTCTATCAAGCCACAAGTTTTTGAGACTGGAGCTCATAGCAGCGATGACACACAGGTACGGTGAGCATGTAAATGATTCCAAACCTTAATGTCCTAAGCTCGAAATACTGATCTAAACTCCACATTTACAATAAATGATTACCACAAACTTTAAGTGTTTTTCAATTATAACATGGAGGAGTTCGGTCACCATTTTAAACAATGCACGAGTCACACATCATTAGTACTTTATCATCATGGAACATGTTCACCATTTTGTTTAATCGAGACTAAAGAGCGTTATTTAATGTAAGAATAGCTAAAGAAAATAAACAGTAAAAGGAAGTTTACGATGCTGTTGTGCGTGGGCTAGACCGAAATGTGGTAGAAAGAATGTGCTTTGAACACGAAATACCCACACGTTATTCAAAATTGTGATAGTAAACCTTATCTTGGATAATATCATGTGTTTATGTTTCTGGACTTTATATAATCGTGTCAGATGAGTTCCGTTCTGATGTCTCGTTAAAATGGAAACCCAGCTGACAAGCCAAGCCCTGGAATGCTGCGATAAGTAACTCGTCCAACGATCTCCACGCCTTAGTTTAAACTCACATCAGTTACAAGCAGTACAACCCGTGCACAGCAGTCAGCCATGGACGCTACAATAGTGGCTAAACCTGACAATGCTCCAGGAAAAAAGAAAACAAGGAGGCGAGGACCTCGTTTGACTGGAGTCAGTCGACAAAGACGAATGGCTAACGCACGCGAGAGGAGCCGCGTGCAAACCCTTAATGCACACATTGAGAGGTTGAGGGATTTAATTCCACTTTTTCCAGGGGAGAAGAAACCCTCCAAAACGGAGACCATTCGACTGGCTGCAGTATACATTTCCTGTCTGACGGAGATTCTCGAGAACACACCGGAGGGTTTGGAAAGAATTAACCCAGACGAGTTACTTCCAAGCCTCCCAGGATTTGAAGATGGTTGGAGTCTCTCTGCAAATCTTCCACGATTCTGCTTTGACTCGTTCTCTGATAATGAAGGTACATATGCACCTTGAAGTTTTCACTCAATTATTTTGTGACGGGGCCAAGGATAAGTGTCATCAGCTCGAAAATCTGGGAGGTCTGATAGTTTTACAATTCTCGCCCGTTATTTTTAAAAATCGTGACCAAGGGTAAATTATGGTTGAACCTTTTTCTTCAAATTTTCACCGCAAATATTTGTGGATCCGTGAGTTCAGGAATAGAACGATGTGTACAAAGATAACAGTAGTCCGTTTGAAATATGTTTACAAATAATAATTCGTTTTTCATTGTCAATGTAAATAAAATGTATTATCATTTTAACACTTCCTCTCTTAGTTTTCGTGGATTGCGTCCACTCTTGTTGACGTCCAATCATTCATAAAACGGTCCCTTGAACAAAAAGAAAAATCAAAAATTAAAAATCAAAAATTTTTATTGAAATGTTGCTTGAAAGTGATCTCACATTAAATTGCTGATCTCTTATCACGAACAGCTTATGGTGAAATCCTCAGAGCTGTTTGTTTGTTTTGTTTTTTGTTTTTATTAATGTATCGTTTTTCATCTAATTTTTTTTCAGACAACTTACTAGACCTCGACCTTGGAGAATACCTCTGGGATGAGTATGAGTAGGGCTCCACTGTGAGGAACTCAAAGGTCCCCGCATTAGGCATCAACGACAGGATACTTTTATTTCAGATCTTTCATCCTTGTATCACAGACCACTTATCGGTAAAATTATCACCTATTTTATCAAGTATCTGGGACAATCTGTGGAATGCATGTAGAAGGCACACAATGTCTCCACGTGTTGATCCCTTATGTCGCCAGTTGGTGAAAGGAAGCTATGTCACGATAGTTAAGCATTTTCCTAACCAAGCGTGACATCGCAGATACCCCTTCCCCAACTAAGGATAACACTTAATGAGATCATGAGAAAAGCACCAATTAGTTTACTACTAACTAGAATGAAAAAAAAGGAGTTTAAGGTTGGGCAAGATTAACTGTAATTTGCTAAATCCTTTTTCAACAAATCGTGACTTAGCGTTTTTTCGCCTTTTATGAATTGAGCTCGAAAGTGAAACATTTGGGGGACTTTGTAAGCCAAGCTTCAAAAGAGTCACTGACTAAGGGTGCTCTTGATTCAGTTCCAACATATCATTTCCACTGGTTAAATTCGTTTCAAATCACACAAAAAATTAATTATGAAGAATATATTGTTAAGTTTGTGCCAAGGAACATTCGTAAAGAAGATTTATTAATCAACGCCTGGGCAATTACGTTTATTAATAAGCTAATCACATTATGCTTCAATTGTATATTCTATCAAAATTGTTTGGGTTTACGTCTGTAGCATGGTGTAACACTACATGTACTTTATAAAGTCTATGATTTATAGTGCTTCCACAATTGGGTCTAGGATCAATTTCTTGGTATGATCGATAGGCATCGTAAGTTTTATCTTAATTTTACCAACTGACCTCATCAAGTTCGTGGCCAAAAGCCCAGTGGCGGAGAGGAGAACATTTCAATCATGCATTACTGAAACGTGTGAAAGTGCTCTTGGTTGTAATCCAATATAGAGTTTTGGGTTCGAGAATTACTTGACAAAGTTTCTTTGGAGATGCTGGCGCTCTACCCGTGACCAAAAACCATCAACTAGCAATTTGCAAGGCCTTATCGGTACCATCCAACCGCACCTGGAATAAAAAGACTAATCACTTAAGATATTGCACGGGATCAACCTTAAGAACCTTTCGCACATCTAGTAAGAATATTCCTTGCCCACCTGCCTCAATTATAGTTAAACTCCTGCTATTTGACTTACTTTCTAAAAGTCTTCAGGGCTTGCTCTTGGATGGAGTCTCGCGCTCAGTCACTCGTTTGGTCCTGGCTGACATAATAAGTTCGTGCTGCGTTCGATCTTTGTCTTTATCACTGACGACTGTCTGTAATGACAAAGATAACAAGGAAATGACTGCAACCGCTAAACAAGAAGTTCCTCACACAATGGAATCTTGTGGAAAGCTTGATACATTTCAGTAATCTCAAGGATATTTTTCATTCTCTTTTTTCAATCCAAGAGAGGTGGGAGGTGGGTGAGAAGGAGGAGAAAATAGATTAACACCGAGTTTTCCCAAAAATAGTAATGATACTCTTCCGTGACTTAGACTTTCCTTTTACAGTATATATGCCTCAGAGTATTTGGTTTGGTCCAAGACACTCGTCTGAATTGTGGTCAGCCACAACTTCCGAAAACACTCTTTTTTAGGAAACGTCCGGCATTCCAGTCAGAAGATAGAGTCTACTGAGACCATCAGAAAGCATCTTGTAACGGAGTTATGTAGTTGATGTATGATGTATAATGACAGTCAAAGGCACACAAGAACATGAAATCTTGAGTATCGCATGGATCGGAGCAGTATTTGGTCTGATGTAGGAACAGTGTGCCACTGCATATTGTCGATAAAAGGATTTCGTCACGCCACAATTGAAAAAATAAATTGTTTTACTAATCCACTTCTTTATTAAAAGTTTACATACGAAATTGTAAACCTATCTATCAACTTTAGGAGTTTGAAGGTTGTACATAATTCAAGGATAGAAAGGTTTTTAAGCTGACCACTTTGACAGCACTTTACCAACATTTTCGGACTAGTCTTCCGTCTCCATAGAAACCCTGGGTTCAAGTTTCAGTCGACATGGCAAGGTTAGAGGGGAAAAAGAGGAGAAAGAGATTATCATTACCTAGCCGCTAGCCGGCTGTGTTAGCGCTCAATTAATGAGCCCTGAAGCAGAATAACTCTTTATAGAGATTCAGAGGAGACAACATCTCCGTCCTTTTTCTGAGCGCGTCAGCCTCTTGAAAGCTGGAAAGAGGTCTGCTTTCGTCAGTCAGTTGTTTACTATCTTGAAATACCCAGTTTAGTCTTCGTTAGGGTGTTCGTTGCAAATCGTATTGCACTAAAGTGTTGTCAATAAAAATCTGAAGGAGAATAATTCATTTTCCTTTGGGGACATCCAACGACAAATTCAGAACAAAATGATAAAAATGTTTAATCCACGATTTCATCGTTTTTAATTGGCTCAGCGTAATTGATATATCGCAAATTCTGACGCAAACATGAAACAAGATATGGACTTTTGTGTCAGATTTGAAAAAAGTGTATCTGAAAATCGAATACTTTGGTATCGCCAGTGGATATTGAAAAGCGCGCAGTTATAATAGAGGACAAAGTCTGCCGGACTGAGACCTGAGGCTGAAAAGTATGGTAACTCGAATTGGGTCATTTCAAGTTTTCTGTGAAAACCCAACAACATTCCGATAATTAAGAAACTATCTCTAAAGTCGGTGAGATGTTGAGAATCTCTTTAAATACTATAAACAGATACCAAGTGTGTGGTTGGGTTTGTCACTAGCCATCGAAAAGATGTTATTCACATACGTTCGATGAACTCGCAGATAACCGCTATGCGGACAACTGATCAAATAACTTAATCCACGGGAAGTGTTGGGAAGGAAAATGAAAGAATTTCTTTCAGAGATAAGGTACTTTATCTCTAATAGAATAGTATCCATCTTCTAAGCTATCTTGACTTCCCGTTTACACTCATTCTTCATAACAAAGAGACTTTTCGAACAGGATATCACCCAAGGGTTATTAAGCGATTAAAAATTCCTAATTAAAACTTGTCATTCAGAGAGTGGAGTGTTAAGTAGATATTTCTAAATGTAACGAATTCGTGCTGAAGTCAATCACATCGAATTTTTAGGATAAAAAAATTCAAGTGCAGCATATTTCGATTGCCTCTGGATCTTGCATTTCGAGCCTTGTGCTCTTTTTCTTTTTATTAGCAGTAATCAAAGATAACTTGTTGTCTTCCGCAGTGGTGATCAGTTCAGGCACACAATCGATAGGAAAATTGTGATTGGCTGTTTTTCGAACACACCATTTAATCACCGGAAGTATGAACATATCTTTTGTGGTTTTTCTATCATGGCGAGGACATGAACATGTTTGAAAATTGTTTGATCGATTCGAAGAAGATGGATATTTATGATCAGGGGCGGTGATCTCTTTCAAAAGAAAGTTCGAGAATTAAATCTGAAAGAGGGAGATTTCAGCCGGATAGATTACGGTGCCAATTTTTTTTTTTTTTTTGAGGTTAATATCGACCAGAGTTAAAGGGTCTCAATCCTCTTTACGCATATAAAAAAAAAAAACAAAAAAACAATCTGGGATGACTCTTGGTATTTAAATGTGCAGGTCCATTAGGTTTTGTTTACTTCAGAAGTTCTTATTTTTGGTAAAGTCATTGATATTTCATTTAGATATTTATCATTAGGGATTTATACGTTTAACTTTGCACCGTGTAACGTACAAACACAATCATTTGAAGTAAAATCTTTCTTCTGATGGTTGGAACTTGTTGGATGGAATATAAATTAGCCCCACATAAATATGGTTTTAATTGGGAAAAAAATGGGAAAGTGTTGGACGCGTAGGTTTGAGAGATAAGGAAGCCGCCTTGTTATAATCCACTCAGGAATTAGTATACATACGATGGAATTACAATTTTGTTAAAATGTTATATTAGAGATATCCATCCTTATCCTAGTTAATGCGTAATCACGTTAGTTTATTGAGAACAAGAATTTTGCGGTCTCACGAACGATGTGCCTGGATGTCAGAGATGTTTCTTTGTCGTGACTGAAACTCTCCTCGCACATAACTCAGCGATCAGTTTCCAAACAAACAGTACCCTTGCGTTGGCGTGCAGGTAAAAAAATACAAAGTAGGTTAATCTGATCATACCGAGGCGTTGTTGATAAAAGTAAATTGACCACCGAAGTTGGAGTTGAAAAACCTGATGTTTAAAGTGTCTTAGTCTCCAGAATATGCTAACTTCAGTTATCATTAAATTGTACTTGGTTTAGAAAATAATCACCCGGAACTTCTTTTTACTCGAAAAGATGCCTTCCAACTCAATGAAGAATTGCATGCCAAAACGATGCAGAACGTAAGCTAAAATTAGATGCGACTCGAATTGATTGGGGAGTCAGTCGACAGGGTTTCAACTGAGAGCACTGAGTCTTTATTTTAGATTTAATCAAACATGAACATTAAATGCGGGTGCTGTCTGATGTAAGCAATTCATTAGATGATTCAGATAGTGGAGGTGATTGGATCTATCCACATGGCAGACAGGTCCATCTATTTCTTAGAATTACTGAACCCCTCTACAAAACATTGGTAATTGTCGTCGCTGAGGAGAAGATGAAGTTATTTACTAAAGCGCAGCTCTGGGAAAATTGGATAAATAAGATATCCCAATGAAATCAGTCTTTCTAGTCTATGTTCAGTGAGTTCAAAAGGGAAGCAGCAAGGTATACGTGGGACTCTTTACATAATCCATCATTACTTTGAAGCTTACCTTCAACTAATGAGACTGAAGGTGCTCTGTATAGGTCTGTACTTCAACAATGAATTATTAATTTCAAGTCACAAATCACTACAAGCTTTCTGACACATAATCCATCATTACTTTGAAGTTTACCTTCAACTAATGAGAAAGGTGCGTGCTCTATGTAGGTCTGTACTACAACACAGAATTATTAATTTCAAGTCACAAATCACAGATGCTTGTAGCCAAGGTGTTTGCAATGATGAAGTACCTTCACGTCACATATTGTGGGCGAAGAGGAACCTCGAAATAGGAGGCCAAGATTTAATAACAACGACGAGAATAAATTGGGTGGAATGTTCAAAAAATGACTTGTGATTGCACAAATAAACATAATGAAAGAAAGAACGATAGGAAAGTTGAACCGCGAGCGCGTGAAGATATGGATCCAAGAACTCTTGCTTTACTGTTCTCCTCCGATGTAGCTGTGAAGGACGTTAGTGTGGTGGTTTCCGTTCGGTTATTCGCTGCCAGGCTTTTGACGTTAGTGCTGCGTTCAGGTGCCTGAGTTGTGCCCGTGTCTGCTGGGATTAAGGTGACCATTTTGAAGCCTTGCTTTTCGTGCTTTGTCTTATAGGGCGATGGATAATCTAGTGTGTGGTGGGCGTACACCAAAAGCATCGGTCCCGGCTGCAAAAATGGATTTGTAAAAAATGCGATATATGTGATATCATTGCTTTTTTTTTAGGTAAACTTGGGCCGAATTTCTTAGTTTAAAAAGAAACTAAGACTTAAGGGGAAAAGAGAAAAAAATTGAACTAGCGAAGGAAATCTGGGAGCAGGCGAGTAGACGATAAATGAATCTAACGGTCAATTAAGAAAATTGTTTTGGCGTCTCTATCCTACTGAGTGTCAAATTCATTTCTTTCGAAGTTTTGTTTAAGCCATTCAAAGCTTTTTCTTTGTGAAGGGTAACGCTTCTAGAAAAGAGTGACAACTTCGAATGTCCTTGGACTTAGACTAATAAATTTGTTTACACAGCGTGGCACTGAAGTACGTTTGTGCATCTTAAAAATAAATTAGAAAAAAAAAAAAAAAGAAAGAAAAGAAATCAAGCGTACAACGTGTTCCCCTGAGGACCAAACTCACGAACCATATGCCAAAGATATGAAGCAGCCGTTATGAGAAAACAGTGGCAATATCGACTGAAAAATTATTCCAGCATTTCGATGGATATGCTCAGTTCACTGACTCATTAACATCATAATGCTGTAATATTATGAAGGTGTCGAGTACTTTTATTTAATTTAAGTTTTCAATATTGCTGAATTCTGACGCAAACGCCCTTGATTACTCGTGCAACAGAGAGTATTATATTAAAGACCCAAGATTTTCGAGGGAAGGAATGTCTATTAGGGAAATTGATGAGTCTTGAAAAAAATTGTTATCCATAGAATTAATAATTATGTCCTTACCTTGATTTCAACGTCTTTACTGTCGCCTGTGTCTCTTTTTCTGTAGAATTCCAGGAATGTTTTGCCGTTGCTTTCGTTGAAACCTATTAGATTATAATCCTGGTTTCGATCTGCTAAAGGTTCTGAATAACCCCTGGTAAAACGATCCTGGAAATGACGAATGTTACAAATGAATTCTTATGGGAATGAAAAGAGGTTATTTTCCTTTTTTAAAAGCTTCATGATTTGCGAAACACTTCTCTCGTTATTTGGTTTTTCGGTGTCTCTTTTGAACGAGAAATTCAACGAGCATAAAAGAAACTTTCAAACGAGACAGCAAATATAATAGCCATTAAACATTTTTGTTCGTGCCCGGAATATTATTTTGTTCATTTTCAGTTTTTTGTAAAATAAATTGCATTCGCTATAGACTTAGCAAGCGTAAGCAAATCATTGGAACACACAAATTTAGGGCAAAATAGATATTTTTCAGTTAGATTTTTATTTTTGACCGGTAAATAAATAATACGTGGCCGGATACGAATTGACAACAAACGATTTTAAGTGAGTTATTCTCTTATCATTCGTGGATAAGCTGTTGGTTTCTGCTGATTTACTGTTCTGAATACGTGACTGGGGACGGATTGAAGTAGCAAAATTAATTTCTATTTACTTCGCTGATGCATTTTTTCTTTCTCGGCCTGAATACCATAGTCTGGTACGAATATCGTGTTGCTGTTCGAATTGGATCCAACTCTGCCTTAAAAAAGGAGAAAATTCTAATAAGAAAAACACACATGGAGACTTACAGTGACTGATCCCCTTCTATTTTGTACCTTTCCAACAATCACATCATAGTTTTTCATTCTGTTGATTTTGTTGGCAAATCCGAAACCGACCCATCCGAGCGTATTAACTTGCAAAACAAAGTTGACTATATCGGTGCTATCATTGTAAGCCCAATACAATTTAAATGCTTTTTCTCCATCGAGGTAAACAGAACTGAAAGTTTCCTTGGGATTGACGATAGAAAACTTGAACAGTAAAATGATCACAGCAAAGAAGAATAACCGAGACATTGCTCGAAACCTCGAGAATACCAATGCGGAACATGTAATATTGTTGTACGGATTAAGTTTACTCGCCAACATTTGCATGGCAGATATTGAGTCTTTGGGAGGAAAGCCCTCTTTTAAATCTATATCGAGTTAATCCTTGTGTTAAAAGCATTTTAAAGTAACCAGAAACTCATTATTTACCATGGTTACCGCTACCACAAAAGATAAATCGTTTTCAATAAAAATGTAAAATCTAGTGTAAGACCATGGTTGTTTCTTTCAAATCTTAAGGATTTGTCTATTAATCTTCAATTCATCATTTCAAAGCGTGTGACTTAATTGCGTCGCTGAGGATTTGGTAAACAGCACGTAAACGTGAAAATTGACCGTCAGAGGTGCGGCTCTAGAATCGTTCAATACTACAATATCTCAATTACATCAACCCTTCTTGAAATAACGATATAGTCGTACCTTGTCCAACGGTAAACAATTGCTTACAATGTGAACTGTGCTGTTTGATTAAAATTCGTGTGTTAGAGAGAGGAGGAATCATAAAGAGGAGAAAAAGACACTTTAATTATCTTTAAATGATTTCAAATCCGTTTTTAATTCTGATAGTATTAACAGCCTGTTTCAACAATGGATTTGAAGGCCATGCCTTATCCTTTGACGGTGGTAATTTTCATGTTTCTTGGAGGTACGATAAACACCGCGATGAGTTGTATTTCGAACTTAATGTGAAGACGGAAGGATGGGTTGGTTTTGGATTCACCTTCACACCACAAAAGATGAACAACTATGATGTTATTATGGGTGGAAAGACCCGTGCAGGAACTCCCTATTTGAATGTATGTTATTTCTTATGCAATCGTTGATTTACGAATTGATATAGGAGCAAGCAATAGCTTGCCTGCTTGAGTTAGTTACTTAGGAAAGGGGGTAAGTCTCTAAAGAAACTGTGCTGCTGCGTCGGTAGGGGTAACAAGGTCATTTGGTAATATCAATTAAGTTGAAATTAAAAAATTACTTAGTTACTTAGGGTTGCGCAAAAGGTGCTTTGTGGTACAATTTAATGAAGAATATGGTATCTTGTCGGGTTGGAGCTATGAACTCAACAAAGGAAGAAATTTTGTTCCAATCTTTAGGACTTTTTTACAGTTGGGCTCACCACGCCGGTCTTAGACTTGAAGCAAAGTTACATATTGGACATGGCCTCGGAGCAAGACGGAATTACAACACTTCATTTCCACCGTCCAAGGATCACAAGTGACTCAGAGGATATTCAGTTTAACGTAAGTTGACCTTTGTCAAAGTTGACTTAGGTTCTCGATTTGTGGCAACGGTCTTCTCTACTTAGAGCGCTCACGAACCATGTCCGTTTGTTTCCAAAATCTGGGAATTGTAAATTCTGCAGCCAAGGAAATATTTGGGGAATTTGAAGCATAAGGCTCGTAAAAAGCATTTATTAAATCAGTCTAATGAACAAATGGTAAACACCACAGCGTACACTATTGAGTTATGGACGCACGCGGGAGGTTGCTAAGCACGAAAGAAGCGTAAGAGTCGCTCGAGGCGATAGCCGCGAGCGACTCTAGCTTCTTGAGTGCTTAGCAAACCTCCCAAGTGCATCCATAACTCAATAGTGTACGCTGTGGTGTTTACCATTTGTTTTATAACATAACATTGATACATTGTAGCTAAAGAGTTCCCTTTTATTTAACAAATCTTACG